GTGGACGAGAGGGGCCACACACTCAGAGGGAGGAGAGGCTGACCGAGGAGGCAGAGGGCTGTGCAGGGCTGAGGTGTCAAAGGCTGGCTATGAACAGTAGGGATGAGGTGATCAGGCCAGGAAACCATAGGCAAGTAGCAGATTGCACCGGAGTGTGCGGTATGGGGGGGGGAAGGGGCAAAACGGAGAAGTTGCAGCAGTTGCAAGGGCTGTGGGTGAGGTATAGGCAGAAAAACAAGGCCCGATTTCAGGTGCAAATCAAACACAGCCTGAATGTGTGTGCGAGGGAGAAGGCGGAGTCAGAGATAACCCCCAGACTGCGGGCCTGAGACCGAGAAAGGGAGGAGTGGAGTGGATTTTGGAGGAAAGATAAGGAGTCCAGCCAGGGGCGGCCCAAGGCAGGCTGCCGGCAGCTGGCGCCCTAGGCGGAATGTGCGATCGGCACCCCCGCCTCCACAGCCCTCAATGGTATGATGTCATCATTGGGTGCCCCGTTTAACGCGGCACTCTAGGTGACGGCCGAGTCGGCCTATACGCATGGGCCACCCCTGAGTCCGCCTGCTCTGACTACTTCTTACCTCACGCATCATCTCTCTAGCCGCTGCTTTCTGCATGAGTCAGGAGTCAGTCGCTGGCCCTGTCTCTCATGCTAGGGCAGCTAATCCAGTGTCCCCGCCAGGTAGCTCACACTTCTAAATGAATGTAAGACCAGAGCAGGTCTCTTTTTATCCAGTTCTGCATTTTCCTACCCTTGCTGCTGTTTATGGGTATGTGGTAGCTCTCCCATGTAGTTCTGGGCGCATCTCTGGAAGGAGGCCAGATACTTCTCTTCAGATAAAGAGGTTATCAGGGTTTTTTTTCCCCCAAGAAAGCGAATGGCGAATACAGAAGATCATCCAGTAGTTGCTTCTGCTGTTAAGGAGCGGGATCTCTGAGTGGGGGTTCCCCAGCTATGGAATTCGTTGAGGCCAAGAATGCAACGAGGTTGAAAAACGGTTTGGACATTTATATGGATTTTGAGACTATCTAGAGCTGATCATTAATTCTATGGATGCCATGGCTTTGTGGAGCATTGGAAGGTGTGGTGCTTTGTATACAAGTGGTCGGAGGTTTATATGCCATCTGATCTGTCTCAGAGCAGATCAACACTCTCCACAGGAGTTAGGGGGTTGGTGCAGAAATGCTTGGGTCAGGGTCTTTAACCTAGGTCAGACTAGATTGTCATCATGGTCACATCTGACCATAAACTTTACACATGATTAAAAAAAAATGAGGAAATGATATTAAACCCCATTCTTGAGGGTTTAAGACAATCGCAAATGATCAGCGATCGGGAGAAGCCCTGATGTGGAGGGCAGATGAGCTCAAATCTGCCTCCTTCTGGCAGCTTTTGGGTTCACGTCAGTGCTGGGGCCATTCCCATGTTTCTGACTGCACTTTTGCAATTGTGAAAGACACTAAGGAGGACAAAACAGAAAAGCAGAGGTCTGTGATGATACACTGTGGACCCACACTGTCTACACAGCATATTTTCTGCCACAAAAACTTGCAAACGAGGGACTCATTAGCATGAGTCACGATGTCATTAGCATATTTCCTGCCGATCCTTTTTGCGCGAGGGGTTTTTGCGCAAAAAGAAGCAGTGTAGCCACTTCTGGTTTGCGAAAAAAAAACCCTTTTGCGCAAGATCCTCCTGGAAAGCCATAAGGTTCTTGCGCAAAAGGGGTTTTTTTGTGCAAAACGGAAGGAGCTACACTGCTTCTTTTTGCGCAAAAGCCCCTTGCGCAAAAAGAATCGGCCAGAAATATGCTAATGACATCGTGACTCATGCTAATGAGTCCCTCATTAGCATATGTTCTGCAGCAAAAACATGCAGCAAAAGGTGCACGCAGCAAAAACATGCAGCAAAAGCCTAGCAGCAGCAAAAGGTGTCAGTACAGTCATTTGTCTTCACTTCATTAGGGAGTCCAGTCCCATGGAGACTGGCCCCTCAGGCTGAGAAGAGGTGAATCACTAGAAAGCAAGAGTCAAAGGCTTAGGGAGACCGTGGCTTGCAGGGCACAGTGCTTTCTTTCCACTGGCTATCTCTGGAAGCAGGATGCCAAATCAGAGCCGGGTGCCTCAGAGTGGTGTTAAATAATTGAACAACTTGCTATAACAGCATGATGACTTTGGAATAGGAGAAGCATTATGAAGAAGATGAGTGTGTAATATACTGCCTCTTCCCAGGATAATGGGTGATTGCTGACAAAGAGACATAAACAGCTTCTAGGAGCAGGCAGAGGAGCAGTATTTGCTCTGTAATACTGGGCTCTGAACATTTTATGGCAATGTTGACTTGGAAGGAATCGCTCTATTTTACTCTGTAATCGTCAGTTAGTTGGTACCAGCAAGGAAATGGCCAGCAATGTCTGGGG